CCTAGTGGTATTTTACATGGGCGCTTGGATATTTGGCCATAGGGGTGGCCGCTCAAATGTATCTTGATTTTTGTATATGACTCTTATCCGTATTTAATATCCGGAGGCAAGGGGGGTGATAAAACGCATGAAATCGGTATTTAACGTATCTGGATTTTGGGTTTAACTACATTAATTGCACGTTAAATAATAAAACCTCCACTCTTCAATTTGGCCAGTTGGAAGTTTTTAGGTGAAGTGCACCATACTCAAAATTTCCATGCTTACCTTGTTAACTGCAAATCCCAATCAAAACCTCTGTAATAGTATAATATATAGATATATAGAGTTCCGTAACTCATGGAAATACCGTTTGATTGGCTGAATTGGGGTATTTTTGGCGAATCAAATTGTGAGGTCGATTTATTGCCACTTCACATCAAAGAGTCAAATTTATGTGTAACTTACGTCGTAGGCGACATCTACTACGCAGTACTGTACCAGTCAGCACTGTCGCTGCCCACATGCTTCATGTCCGGGCTCGAGTTTGAGCGGATCAAGTTGCGGTCGTTGCTGAGTTTGGCAGCGCAGAACGGCCGTACACCCCACTTGTCCATGGCGTTCGACAGCAGCACAATGTTTCCGCGACTTCTTGTATGCTCGTTTCCCTGTCATCATGAAAGTTCTAGACTACGTAGCGCATGCTTGCAGTGGCCTTGTCACAGGAGTCCGTGGCGGCACCGCCGCATTTCGAATCATCCAACTGCTTCCCCGCCAATCAAAAAGTCCTCGTCGTCTCGAAATATCTTGATTTGATTGGCTATTGAAATCACTTGTAAGAGGTTTTCATGGGTCACTGTATCCAGTTATGGAGGCTTTTCAACTGCCCGTCGCCAACTTCCATCCGACGATGGTGCAGCACGTCGGCACCGACGGCGCGACAGTAGCGGCAGATGCCAAGCAAGAGGATCCGTCAAACAACAACCACACCTCGCATGATAGCAATTCAGTCGGAAGACACGCCGTGTCGTTGGCCAGCGTCGTCGACTCCATCGGCGATTCTATGCAGGCAGCGCTACAGAAAGTACTCGAGTCGTACGGCGGGCCATCAACCATGCTTCAACAACACCACCACCGCGAGAACAACGTCGATGGGAAGGACGACGTCCTTGATCTCGTGCAGCAATTGACATGCAGTCGCCGAGCCGAACGCGCGTTGCGTGAGAAGGTTGCGACGTTGGAGTCCGCCAACGCCCGGCTGGTCGACTCATTGATGTTGCATCATCTCTTGCGTGCAAAACTTAAAGACGAGCTCATCCATGAACGTCTCGTGAGTTTGGATCTGAAGAAAGAGCTCGCGGCATGCACGGACAAGCTGGAGAAGACGGCGTCTCAACCAACGGCGACGGCGGACGACGTATGGAAGCAATCGTCGTCGGATCGTCCATCTGGTTCCATGGACAAGAGCGCGCCGCCGCCGCCGCCGCCGCCTACGTCACTCTTCCATTATTTCACCTCCGACCTCCCGAGTCACGACGAGGATCGCGGGTCGTTGTCGTCGCCGCTCTCGTCCAGCCGCCACAGTCTCATGGATCAGTACCTTCCGTCCACGCTTCTCTTGGACTCGCCGTGTGTCACGCCGCAACAACCGCCGCCACCGCCCCAAATACCCGAACCCTCCTCTCACGGGGAAAATTCCCCGTCTCCCACTCCAGCGTTTTCCCTGGACAACCACGATAATATCACAGCACCACCACCACCGACTCGCTTGGCAGCACTTGGTGACCTCTTCCCCGATATCCCAGTCGAACAAGTCCATGCCGCGCTGCTCTTTTCCCGGGGGGATGCCGCGGCCGCCATGGACAGGCTTGTGCGCGCCCACCCGTCGTTTCATCCCAGCAGCAACCGCCATCCGCCGCCGCCCCTTCCCGCGGCCCCGCCCACCGCCGCGCTCAATTGGAAGACCGAGTTGTGCGTGTACTTTCTTCAGGGCAAATGCAACAAGACCCGACGCACGTGCTCATTTGCCCACGGCGAGACGGACCTGCTGCCGCGTCACCATCCCCCCAACAGCGCGGGGGCTGCCACGTCATCAGGACATTTCAAGACGCGGCTGTGCCCGTTATATTTGGACGGCGGGTCGTGTCCGCGGTCCCGCCGCGACTGCCCCCTCGCGCACGGCGAGTCGGATCTTGTGCCCGCTCCTCCAAGTAGTGTCGTCCCATCTGCTTGTTCGTCGTCGTCAGCGGCACCTCCATTGCCGCCGCTGCTGCCGCTCCAACTTGCCCAGCAGAACCATCTCGTTCACAACGGGGTTCTATCTAGCCAAGCTCCACCGACTAGCAACGGTGGCCTTGGTCCCCGGCTGCAAAACTACAAGACCGAAATGTGCTTTTATTACCTCAAAGGATGCTGCAACTACTCGACCGAAGAATGCCGGTTTGCCCATGGCGAGAGCGACCTCCGCACGATCGAAAGCAACGCCATACATGGATCTTCCACCATGCAGCTCTCGGGTAGCGCCGCCGCCATGGTGGACTGGAGCTCGAGTGGAGGAGGTGGAACCGCCATGAACCTGCAGCATCAGTTGTTGTACCAGCAACAAGCGACGTCGTCGCGGGCACACGGCAGTGGCATGATGTTGCCACCGCCGCCCCCGCCAGGCCTGTATCCTCGATACATGGCCAAGGACGAGATGACTAAGCGCCGCGCAACGATTCCTGCACGGCGCGAAAGCATGAATGCGATGCCCACATGGACCTCGCATCCCACCCACCAGCAGCAGCAACAACCCATGGACTACTAGGCCGCCATCGTCCCCCGTGACTTCCTTTGCTCTCTCTCTCTCTGCATATGTAATAGACAACTAACCTAATGAAGTATAACTTAATGTGATTCGTTCCGCGTCATGCGTCCATGTTGGCGGCGTGGCGCCTCTCCAGGACGACCAAGTGCCGTGTGATTGGTGGATTGCGCGTGGTTATCCGGATGTTATCCGGATGCGCGCCAGGATTCAGCGCCTTATTCTCTGTGTACGGGTCAAGAGTGTGGACCATCAATGGACCTGTGGCGCGTGGAACTCAAGTTCCAAGGCATGTGCTGCAACCTCGTGGGGAAGCTGCCGGTGGAGAAGCGGCACTACCTCAAGGACTTCCCCACCAAGCTCAGTGTGAGCATGAAGGCCAAGTACACGGCGATTCCGGCCACGAGTTTCTTCTGCAAGTTTGCGTCCAAGGACGCCACCGACCTCGTCGAGTACCTCAAGCGTAAGCGCATGGCGGCCTGTGTGACCTTTCTCTACTCCAAGTACATCTTCACTCTGTACCTCGTGGTGCCGTCGGACCTGCCGCAGCTCAAGTGCCTCCAGCGTCTCAAAAAGACAGGCGCGAACGTCGAGTCGCTGTGTCGCAAAGACGACGGCGTCGTGATTGGCGTCCTGAGCCGCGAAATCAACAAGGTCGCAGAAGACAGACTGATCGCGAAACAGATGCAGCTCCAGGAAGCGGCTCGAAGCGCGCGCAAACTCGGCTCGACCGTCGGCGACCCCTTGTTGGAGCTGGAGCTGTTGCTGCAGCGCCTGCCCACGACCAAGTCGGCGATTGACGTACGTACATGTTTTGTCGATGGAAGAATGGCATGAGCGATGGATATTAAGTTGTGCGTTAGCACTGCGCATTGTTCATGGTCAAGCAGAAACATCGCTTCGACGACGTGTGGAGCCGCGTGGTCGACGCCATGCTCGGGTTCGACCAAGGAAAAGGCCGACTGAACGTCGTGTTCCTCGCGCATGAGGTCATCCGAAAGGTCCGCGGCGGCACCAACGACGACCAGGACAACGCCGCGCTCGCGTCGTCCGGCTTGGTGCGCGCCGGCGAGCGCATCTTTCACAAGCTCCTCGATGCTCTCGACACGAAATGCCGGCATTCGGTACACACCTTTACTATATATATATATTTATTTATTTTCTCAAACGCTTCATGGGTATTTGTTTTGTAATCTGTCATTTCACCTAAATAGACTTGGACTTGAGAGAGAGTGAGAGGCGTTGTTTCACCAACTATTAATAGCTTTCGACTCGATTGTTGATCCTGTGCACATGATACGATCCAACGATTAGTATATATATATATATATATATATATAGATGGAGTAAAATTTCGTGTGGTGGTTTCTCGTTGGAATTTAAATCGATTTGATTGGCTACGTCAAAAAATGAGCTCAAAATTATTATCCAATCAAAACCTTCTCAATACAATTCAACAACCAATCAGATCGATTGTGGATCGGTTTGCGCGATTCGATTGCACCCAAATATTTGTATATCAAATCGACAATCTATACATGTGGTTTTGTTTGGATTGGCAGAAATTCGACATGAGACGTGATTTGATTGGCTAATCGATTACTCTCCCGACTTTCGATTGACACGAATATGATGTAGACCGTGGTGAGCGAAATCCTGGCGTTGTGGGCCAAGTGGCAAGTTCGGTATGATGCCGACATGGACGTGCCAACGACGGACCCGCTCCTTGTCGATGACGTTATCCCGTCTGTGTCCACTGTATCGCAGATATCGTCCTCACCGCCGCCGTCAATGTCGACCGACGGCTCGACGTCGTCGCAGGTTTTGGCAGTCATGCGGCGGCACCACATCACCCCAGGTGCATGGGAAATCTACTTGTCTCGCGCCAACCCGGACGAGCTGTTTGAAATCGACCACGTGCTCACGTTGAACGGCAACTACAGCTCCTTCTTACCTCCCAATGCCCTCGACGGCAGCTCGGACGTGCTCGGCGGACACAACCGGCGGTTCTCTGGCGATGCGTTTCTGCATCGATATGTGAAGAAGAACTTCAAGCATTTGATCGATACACATCAGACAACGTCGTCTGTGGACCCCGACCACATGCGCACGACCGCCGACGTCCTCAAGGAGGCGCTTGTGTGCTCATGGGAGTTTGACGCTGAAGCCACGCGTTCCATCTACAAGAGTGACAGTGCATTCATCGACGAAAGCTGGCGCAAGCTAGAGGCGCGAATGCCATGCGACAACCTGAACGCGTACATTATGAGCTTTCTCAAGCGATGCAACCACAACCTGTATGCGACCAATCCCGCATTTGTTGCGCTCTCGGCTGCGTTGGCCGATGCTAGAATGACTCCTAGTACTAGTACTACTAGTAGTAGGAGGTTGCTGCCGCCGTCGGGTACCAACAACGATGACGAAGAGGCCCCCAAGACGACAGACACCCCAGACAACATGGACGAGGTGGACCAGAAGATCCTCGACGGCATTGTCCAAGTATGGGGGCCGCAACTGTCGGCGGACGCGACGCTCAAACTCCGGGAGCTTCCCGCGGCAGTCGTACGGCGGCTGGCCAAACAGGCCGTGGCCGCATGTGTCGATGGAAAGCCCCCGGCCATGTCACGACTGATTGTCCACGAAGCCAAGCAACAGACCAAGGGCAAGGGCAAGTGGTGGTCGCCTCGCATGCGCGCGACGATTCAAGACGCATATCGCCGACTCACGGGCGGAAAGCGGCTTGCCGACGACGACATGAACCCCCGTCCATCGTATGTATCTCGTAGTTGTTACTGTACTGACACTTGGATGTAGGCAACGCGCCAAGGATAGTACTACTACTAGTACTAGTACTAGTAGCGACAGCACAGACACTACTAGTACGGCGGGGGGTCCATTGACAGACGACGAGTTGGCGGCGTTGAAAGCGCGGATTCCGAAACCGCCGACGCTCAAGTTTCACAAAGTTAAGCGAAAAGACATCCAGCGCGTGGAAACCAACATCAACGGCACCATGGGCATGGCCGTGTCGGGGATTCCCAACAGTGGCCGCGGCATGTTCAACCTGTCCGAGCATGCGTGGCCGGCGTTCTCGGTCGTGTGTATCTTTGGGAGTCGGCGCATCTCACAAGACATGCATCACGATGGCTTAAACAAGGTCGCTCGATGCGGCGAAGTAGGCGAGACATTTGTGGTCGTGAATGGCGAAGTGAAGGAAGTAGACAAGTTTATGGACCAATATGGCCACCGCCTGATCGAGTACGACGGTCTCGTGGATGCTGAAGGGTCCATGGGCGGCTTCCCGAATGACCGCGTGTACGAGTACCCAGAGGAACACTACTGGGACGCCAGTGGGTTCTACAACAACACCATCTTGTGCCCCGGATGTATCGTCGACCCTGCCAAACCAGAGAGTAAAATCGTGCTTGATCAACTGTACCTGGTCACGTGGAAGCCCGTGGAGCCTCTCCACGAGTTCTTCCTGGCATATGGGACATCGTACTATGAAGAAGACGACCCAAACCACCCGAGAAAGGTCATCAAGAGATAACATATAGTATACGACCATCGTGGCATATCCATTTTGTATATATATATATATATATATATATATATATATACGACATGGCGCACGCTGATGTGTAGGTGCATATAGTAGGTACAGTATACTACTAGTATTACTAAAGTAATACATACATACAGGGGTGATAGAGTTGTGGGTCAAATATTTTAATTTGTACTAAATCATACCTTTATAAATAGTACTACGTCCTAGTAATAGTATCTCGTCTCTTTAGCATTCTTATGATTGTTCCTACGTATTTGTATTATTGTCAGCATATATTTTACAGTCAATCCATTTGTTTCTAATGTTGTTAAAATACAGGGGTGATAAGTGTTGTGGGTCAAATATTTTAATTTGTACAACAAAATCATATCTTTATAAATAGTACTACGTCATAGTAATACAGTAATAGGTCTCTTTAGGCATTCTTATGATTGTTCGTACATATTTGTATTATTGTCAGCATATATTTTACAGTCAATCCATTTGTTTCTAATGTTGTTAAAATTATATACTAAACAAGAAGAAGGAAAAATACTAAGGGGTTGACTAGCATGAACTAGTGAGGGATGTTCGGCAGACGGGGCATGCGAAGTGGGAGAGTAACCATGGATGTACACAGTGCTCGTGAAACACGTGGCCGCAGCCGAGGGTCACCACCACTCGATTGTCCACCGACGAGCATACGTTGTCGCATAAACCAACGGGCATATCTGGCTCGAGCATGTGACGTGGTGACGGGGTGGCAGGGTCCAGACAGATGGAGCACAACTTGTGAGCATTCGACGAGTGGTTTTGGTTCGTACGTGGTGTACGCTGGGGTTGCTTCAACTGGTGCAATGCATGGGTGACGTGGACGTGTCGCCTTGATGGGATGTCCAGGAAGAGATGCAGCGCGTGTCGAGCGGCGCCGACGGCCGCGCAGTCCAAATCCCGACCCGTGGTGGCATCGAGGAGGTCGTTGACGAAGGTTTCGACGACCCATGTGCGCTGGGTGACGACAGCGTCCACTTTCAAGTCAGACGACAGGTCGAAGAAGCGCGACTTGATGGCAGGCGGGCGTGCAGACGCGAGTCGGCGCAGTGGACCGCAGCAGGCGAAGGTCGTGCACGGGTGCTCGAGGATGCAGCGTCGGACGTTGTCGTGGAGCGCCGCGATCTGGACATGCGACTTGCGCAGGGCGTACGTGGAAGCCGTGACTGCATTGTCCTGTACGAACACCACGTAGTTGGCGTCCATAGCCTTGAGTGGCGATCGGCTTGTGTTGACAGAGTGTTTGGGAGGCGAGCCTGGGGTCACGACCACCTCTAGGGATGGCGTGTCGTCGGCTGGAGGAGGGTGGTGATGATCATGATGGGATGAAGCGGATGGAACAGCATCGAGGAACCCTTCGAACGAGACAAACACCATGGCGATGTCTTCTCCCGTAACTAATGCAATCCACCTTGAGGGGCGCTAAGAAAACGGCCAAATATATCTGAAACAACCAAGCAAACATGGAATGTCAGCGGAACATGGATAATGGTTCAACCATCGTGGCTTGGGATTGGTTCATGATGGATCCTACGAGCCAATCACATCATTTCACTTTGGCATTGTATTGCACTCGTAGATTGTATGCCGCCCCGCAATTTCAAAAAAATGACGTGCAATTCCATATTGGTATTGACGTGCAAAGGGATACATGGCGGCGCTGTTTGGACCGTTGCCGGCGGTGAATCGGGAAGCGTTCAAATGGGTGCCGGACAAAGATACCGCCAAGTGCATGAACTGCCACGCGGATTTCTCCATGATCAATCGAAAGGTACTGAGTGAGATGATGGGAATACCTGCCTTCACGGGGAGGATTGCCGTGATGACTGACGGACGCGGTAGCACCATTGCCGCCGCTGTGGCCATGTCGTATGCTCCAACTGCTCGCCCAATATCCGCCGCATGTCTCCACAAGATCCATTCGTACGTGCTTCAGCAGTTTTCACTATCTCTCTCGCCTCCATCTTGCCGCCGTTGCTCCTTTTCATGGGATTGTCTCGGTCCCTTCATGAATTCTCCATAGCCGGTACGAGTGTGCAATCCATGTTATACGGCGCTGGACGAGCATTTGACGTCCACGATGGAATGGTCTGGCATGTCTGGACACACCCCCACCGAGGTACTAACTGGCTTCTTCGTCGCTCTCCACGCATGATCATCATGCGGGTGTACATTGTAGGCGGAGCGCACTTCGGAGCCTGTGGCCAACTCTGGCCGCGTGCGCATCGGTCAGTTGTATGTGAAAGTCGTCGAGGCAATTGGCCTTCCGTCCACAGATGCGATCGCCAACTCGATCACAAGCGACCCGTTCGTTAAAGTCGTGCTCACCGGTCGGTGGTCCCACGGCCAGGTGCGTCCTCCCTTCCCCTTGACAATCCTCCTCGTCATCATCATCATGTCATAGGAATGGTCCAAGGAACTGCAGTCCACGAAACTGACCAAGCGCAAGTCGCGCACACTCAACCCCCGGTGGCACGAGACGTTTGTGTTCAACGTGTGCGCGCCAGGTGCCGAGCTCGTGCTGGAGGTGTTCAACGCGGGCCAACTCACGCAGCAAGCCACCAAACTCGGCCAGGCCACGGTGCCCCTCGTGGACTTGATGGACCAGCGGCGGCACAACAAGTGGCTCGACTTGCAGTTGCCGCCGACATTGCACCGCCACGGCCTCAACAACGACGCCCGGGCCGGGCGCATCCACGTGCTGCTGCACTTCAAGTTCGCGCGCGTGGCCGAGTTTCTGTCGCACTTTACGGCCGAAGAGCGATACACGGCACCGTGGCCGCCGTTCAAAGCTGCGATCTTGTACAACAACTTTTGGATTTTGCTCGACGACTTGTGGCCGTACTTGGAGGTCGTGTGGAGCATCTCGCCAACACTCAACTGGGACCACCCGTCGCGGTCGAGCTTCGTCCTCATCGCGGTGCTGTGGATGTGCATGTACATCGAGTGGGTGCCCGTGCTCGTCCACGTAGCCATGATTGGCATGACCATCAAGAACTTGATCGTCGTGTCTGTGAAGATGGCCACGGCCGACTCGGCGGTGCCCACTCCTCCAGTCATGTTTCATTCGTCGTCCAATACGCCCTCCACGATGATGTCGACGGCGGCAGCAGCAGCAACGGTGCTCACATCATCTTCATATTCTTCGTCCTCGGCAGCTTCTCCAGTGTCAAGCATGGGCACTGGCACGTCGTCGTTATTAACGGCCTCGGTATCATCATCTAGCAGTTCTGCGGTGGGCGGCGGCGGCGGCACCACGTCGTTGCTATCGATGGATGGAGGCGCCCTGCATGACGACCCCCCACGTGTGTACTCCCTTCCGCAGGGGTTCCACCACATCACAGACAAGATGGCGCAAGTGACCACCGACGCCGAAACGAAGATGACGCTGCAGCGCGTGCAAAACAACATGGCGTGGTGGTCCGGGATCATCAAGTCGATCGAACTTATGTTCTCGTGGGAAGACTTCTTTTACACGCTGCAGATCTTCGTCGCGCTCGTCGTGAGCTGCGTTTTGCATGTGTTTGTGCCCAACCAGTATCTCCTCATGGTGTTCGTCGTGTACCTCTTCACCATGTGGACGGTGCCATTCGGCCTCTTCACGAGAGCCATCTACGGGCTCAAACAGGGTCTGTTGTCGCTGCTGCATCAGCAACGACTGCGCGCGCATCATGAGAAAACGGTGGAAACCAGTCGAAGTGCCGCGGCCGCCGCCGCGGCGAATGGGGCGCCGTTCGACTCGTCTGCAAGCAGAGTGCGACGTGGTCTGAGCATGAGTCGGAATGAAGTCGTGTCCAGGAAGGAGCACCGCTTTGGTGCCGCTGCCACGGCCTTGTCCCGTCGGTTTGCAGAAGAAATGAATAATGGCGCGTCGGCACAATAAGATCAAGCATATCCCTCGTTTTAGTGACCCGATTAGTCAAAAGTAATAATGTACATCGAAGTAGTATGTACAGAGTTCATGGATTGCATGCTTTGCGTATGACTTCAAGTCATTAAACAGAGGTCGGGGATTACGCGCGCGCAATTCGGTCAAACGTTCATCACAATAATACCTCGCTTTAGTGACGTTGAAGTCATTCGTTCGGGTATTATACTTTCCAAAATGGCACCTCGTTTTAGAGTCGTTTGATCATTGTGCCAATGCCAATGTCATTAATATATAAGTAGTAAAGAAAATTTGAAACACTGTTTGGCCATTAAACCGAGGGAGGAGGGGTGGCGTATTGTTTTGTGATTTCGGTAGCTATCCGGACGAACTCGTCGGGGTGTTCCACAAACTGATTGAAGCAGTCGATGCCGAAAGACCGCGCGGTCGTGCCGACTGTCGGAGGGGCGTCCCGTGCGTTATAGATGGGAATCATGAGCTCAGGCTTGGGGTCGCGGAAGAGGAGCACGAGGCGCTCCAGGAGGGTACGGCTTCGCCAGTCTACAACGATATCGTATGTCGGTGAATGAAGGGTTTCAGGGCGGTAGTACCTGGAGTCCACATCGAAGCAAGCCATTCCGTGGGAGCCGTGCCGTCGAGTAGCATGATAAAGTTAACGTGGTAGATGCGTGTTTGCAACGACACTATGGGTGGTTCGTATGGGTAATCGTGGCCAAACCTGCATTGGTTGAATAAGAACGATGGCACGAGAGAAGGGAGTATGTGTGTACTGGAAGTGGAATCGAAAGACGCCGCCGTCGTAGGGAGTGTCTGCGGGACCTTGAAGGAACACGGTCCACTGTCGCATGTCCTCTGGACATGATCAACATGGCATGTTCAAGTTGGTTCGATGATGATGATGATGCAGGTAGCACGCACGCTTGAACGGCACGACACGGCATCCCTTCACGGGATTGTCATCCAGGGCGTGGAATTCTTGACGAATCTGAAACGCCTGCTTGGACATTTGGACGAACTTGCTCAACTTGTTTGACTTGCCACGGCGTAAGTTGCTCATCATCTACTCGACTCCACAATCACTCGTTCAAGTCCATACATATTGGATGAACGCATCCCTTTACCAGGACGAACTCGTTGAACTCGATCTGTCCTGACCCGTTCTCGTCCACGATCGCGATGAGACTCAGCAACTGCAAACCACGAATGGATCATTCCATCTCTCGAGGATGTCATCCCACGTACCTCTGCCTTCTCCATGTGGATATTCATCGACTCCATCAAAGTGGACAACTCGTTTGCATCTACCCGCCGTATCAGTCGTCGTGATAGTATGCATCGCATGATTGAGAGTACCAACACCGCCATCTCCGCTCGTGTCGAATTCTTTGAACTGCATGCCATATTCCGAGACGACGATGACGCATTCCTTTGCATGATGACGATACTCTGTACCTGCTCGAGGAACTCTGCCATCTCATGGACCGAGAATTCCCGCCGAAGGCTGTCGGGCACGTAGTACATGTCCTTGGTCGCCGCCATGTCCTTTCGCAGCCCCGTTCCAGATTTGAAACCGCCAAGTTATCCGTACAATTGATCATATCCGGATATTCAACCTTGACAGGATTTATTCATTTGCACAGGTCCATTCACCGCTAATTCCAATTCCACCAAGCAAACAAATATGGGCGGTGGGAAGCGACCGGCGTCGCCGACAGAGCTCTCTGCGGCACATGATGATTCCACGAACAGCGCACCTTCGTCACCTCGGGAACAAGCATTAGCTCTTGCAAAGAAGCCCAGGACGGACGACAACGAGCCGTTCCCGCGATCGTTGGAGATCGTCCCCGTCGATGCCAAAGTTGTGACCCTCACGTCACGATCCGATGCCGCTCGGACATCCGACTTGCTAGCGCCGACGATGCTGCTCTCTGGACATGGCGCTGCAGTCTATTCGCTTGCGTTCAGTCCATTGGGCAAGACAGCGGCATCCGCGTCATTTGATCGGTCCATTTTCCTGTGGACTGTCTATGGCGAATGCAAGAACTACGCCGTCTTGTCTGGGCATAAGAACGCCGTGCTACAGGTCCAATGGACATATGACGGCAGTTCGTTGGTGTCTTGCTCCGCCGACAAAACCGTCGGGCTGTGGGATGCCGAGGCCGGCACGCGACTCAAGAACTACCGCGGCCACTCGGCCATCGTCAACAGCGTGTGTCCAGTGTCCAAGGGACCGCAGCTGCTCGTGTCTGGGTCCGACGACAGCACGATCAAGGTAAATGTTCATCATCATCACGTCGTCACCTCCCGTCCTCAACGTTACGAACATGTAGATCTGGGACGCCCGCATGAAGCGCGAAGTGCAGACGATTGAAGAACGCTTCCAGGTCACGGCCGTGTGCTTTGGGGAAACGGCGTCGACGGTTTTCTCGGGCGGCGTCGATGGCCTTGTCAAGCAATGGGATCTGCGCAAACCTTCCGACACGAACAACCACGGCGTGCCGACACCTGTGGAAATCTTAGCCGGCCACAGCGAGATCATCACGAGCTTGCAGCTGAGCCCCGACGGCAACTTTGTGCTGTCCAACGCCATGGACAGCACGCTGCGCAAGTGGGACGTGCGGCCGTTCTGCGAAGGCGACCGGTGTCGCATGGTGTACTACGGCGCCAAGCACAGCAACGACCGCAACTTGATCCGCGCCAACTGGAGTCCGGACATGAAGCACATTGGCAGTGGGAGTGCCGACCGGTATGTGTATATCTGGGACGCCGAGACGGGCGCGCTACGGTACCACCTCCCAGGCCACGCGGGCAGTGTGAACGAAGTATCGTTCCATCCCAACCCGTCCGAGCCCATCGTTGGGTCGTGTGGCAGTGACAAGAACATTTACTTTGGCGAACTGCTAGAATAATATAGCATACGAATGAATGCGATTTTATATATAGATATACAGTTCACACGGTTCAAATGTCCCCTTTCGACCACGGCCACGTATATATATACAGTTCACATGGTTTAAATGTCCCCTTTCGACCCCACGGCCACGTCACAGGTCGACACCGCCAGACGCGGGGATAACGCAATCAGTTGCGACGGACACAACGCAACGACGCGATGGCGGGCGCCGGCGCTGCAGTAGATGACAGAAGCCTCATGGACGAGAGACACATCCACCACCACATGCACGCGGGCTTGGCAGCGGAGCCCCACGGGACCAATACTGCCGCGGCTGTACCCAAACACATGCATCAAGTCCTACAGACAGTTCTCGTGAGATTACTAGTACTACTAGTAGTAGTTAGTATATACATACTCGTTCCGAAGTCAGGGCCATCGTATCCGGACAAGCGGTGAGAAAAGTAGTAGCCACAAACGCTTGCAGTTTGGGTACGTCGATGGTTTTGTGGAGGTCGAGCACGACCGCCAAATAGTGTGAAGTCTGCTGCTGCCGAGTGTGGACAGTCCACGCCACGGTCTTGACCATAACTCCATGACGAGGATGGTCAGGAAGGGTATAGAACGAGCCAGATAACCCCCACGACGTCACTGCCGCTGCCACGTCATCTTCGCCCAGATACGATTCTACCATCATATAGTGTGAGTTCATTCGCAATGTTGACACGACCCGTACGAAGATGGTGCACCACCCGCCACGACGACGGCCATGAATTAGTGTGAACCCTTGTTCCAGGCGGCGGGTCGTCACAAGTAGTACTAGTACTACATATAGAAGGTTCGTTGAGGTCGGCTGTAAAGTAGAGCAGCAACACGCGCACGATATGAGCGTCCAACGCGGCATACTCGACTTGGGCCTACAATCGATGCACTCTGTCACACGTACATATATATCACTAATAAACGTACGGCTGTGAGTGGTCGGGCGGCCCAGTCCGAGCACTGCTGGTGTTTCGGCATCGTGTGGTTCAAGAACGTGAAGGCGAGAGAGGCGAGGCCGACGCCCGCGAGCCGCCGGACGCGGGACATGGCGACCCGTCGGAGGTCGATGCAGGTCCAGTGGGGGGACTGAAAGGTACGAGCCAATGCAGGGTACGACCCCACGAGGCGATCGAGGTCCCCCGAGACGCAGAACCCTGTCACAACAATCCACGGTCGACACAACCTGTCAAACACGGCCGGCACTGTCACACATGTCGCCATACAGTCCAACACAAACACGTGGCCATTTGGAAACGCCAGTTGGACGACCGTCACCCCCAGGTCGTACAAGTCGTCGTTGTGTCCATCTACACATGTGGGGTTGGTCGTGAACGCGCGAGGCCGCCACTCGCAGTCCAGCCCCACGACTACCATCGTCTTGTCATTCGTCGCCCTGTCCATCCACGTGAGCATCGTGTCAATCTGCGACGACGTTTCGACCAAGTGCACTGTCAGAGGCGTGTCCAGCGTGGCTTGCACAAGAGACAGCTGGTGGGCGTGGTCGGCAATGTCATGGGTCGGAATCTGCGATGACGTGGCAGGCAGATGCCGGCGGGCGGCTTTGGCAGATGTGTGCGGGTGGTTCACATACACGTGCGTCAGTTGACTGGATCGACGCGACGCCACATCCCATCGCTGGGTCCGCCCAAACGCTTCCGCCGCCGCGCCGCCATCCCGCCCGTCCAACAACGTCGACAGGATCTGGCACGCCACAGCATCGTCTCTAATGACATTGTCTTTTATAGAGTAGTAGAAATATTATATACTTGTCCAAATTCACTGAATATATCTATCTATATATATATATATATTATCAATACTATTACATACCTGGGCAAGGCATACGCCGCACACAAGTCGACGGCCGTGGCATGCCACTTGCCCTTGTGTTGTGGCTCGAGCATGGCGAGAACGACCGTTTCGACCCACAAAGTCGTCACAGAATCAACTACCACTTATCATGTTGGTGGTCGTGGAGATACTATATGCGATATAGTTTCAGTAGTATTACTAGTAGTACATACCTTGGTCGTGGCGTGGGGACGATGCTATAGCTCCTCCTAGAACGTGCTTGGCTTTGAGCAGAAACCGCACGCTCCACCACTGATCCGGATGCGTGCATGCGACACGGTGCGCCATGTCCATCTGGTGCGCTAGGGTTGAGTCTTCATCGGAGGATGTTTGGCTGTCCAACGATATCGCAGACGCCACGTCCAATATCAAATGCCCCACACGGAGCACAGTCTTTACAGTATGTGACGACAGCGTCACAACGGCCAAGACACACTTGACCAGAAACGCGTTGGCCTGTTCATATTCACTCTGTCGCATCATATTCCATATCGCATGAACCGTCGCGCGCTTGATAGCTGCATACGTTGGCGCTGTGCCATCTCCTCGTCCTCCTTCTTGCTTGTGTGACAGCGTTAGCGCGTGCAAGATATGTTGCACCAGCTGCATCGCACGCAGGTCCATATGGACATTCTCATGATCGTCGTGGACTCTGTCACAGTTGGTGTCTGTCAACCACCCCTTGAATAACAATGTGCTGTCGTCCCTTGTCTTTTGTATGGTGCTGTCTGATACCTTCATCTCAACTACTACTCCCTCCTCCTGGGGTACTACTAGTACGCCAGAACTCTCGGCATTCCTTGGTTGCGTATGGTGGTGTTCACAGCTCCACGGCACGGACTCGGCCAGCGCACCGTTGAACAACGTTGACTTCTGCTGTCGGCGGGTGGACGACGATTGTGCGTACTTATTCAGGACAAACCCCCGACTGGCTTCCACGTACAACATCCTCTTTCGCTTGTGCTGGATCGGGTTGGTCATGTCGTTGCCAGCAGGATCATCATCTTGGCGGCGGACGGGGTCGTCGGCGCTGGATGAAGCATGCAATTCCGCCACGAGCAGCGGCATGGCCGTCGGGTTGTGGCTGAAATGGCTCGCCAAGACCGAACACAACGCCTGCCAGTCCAAGATTGGGATTGGATCCAACCCGAGGTTGGTGTCACCTGGGAGGACCCACACATTATCTGCTCCTTCATGTTCCTTATCATCATGGAAGGAACACGAGGGAGATGGAACTGCCACGACCGGACTGAGCCAGTGCAGTTTGGGCAGAATGGCCCAGCGGGCATGCGATGGCGCGGCGCGCACGAGGTCCGCGGCGTAGTCGACGCTCCACCATCCTCGCAAATGACATGCATCGAGGTCGTCTGTGACAGCGATGGTTGATGCGGAGGTTGTCGATGATAACTGCGACAACGGGTAGAACAAGTACCCGCGGAGAAGCATGTGGGATTGCACATGGTGATCATCTACTGGAAGTACCGCAGATGTACTAGCCGCAGCATCCGGATAATCGGATGTGCAAGCAGCAGCATCCGGATGGTCGTTGTCCGAGGAAGAGGATGCGAAGTGAGAGCGGAGCCACGCGCGGACCACGTCAAAGCGGCACATGTCCAGCTTGCGTGTGACTTCCGTAGCTCGCCATGCGAGGTTTTCCCCTTGATGTGGCCCTACAAAGTGTTCGAGTTGAATGGATGCACTCGAGTCGGCGGCGTCGGTGGTTGAAGATGTTGGAGCGATGGACGTGAGCAAGAAGAACTTGATTGATGCTTCCCAGTGCATGTCTGTAAAGTCCGAGGACGAGGATGGAAGGAACATGCGGAAGACAAACTTGAGCTGCCCCACCGTTCGCGATGTCTTGGCCGTCACGAGCTGCTGACCGACCACAAGGTGCTCGACGCGCCACGTCGGACAGTGGCGAAGCCAGAACTCCAACAGCGATGCAAAGTACACCCCGAGCGCCAGCGACGCTCTGTCCCGCCGCTTCTCTAGGGCGATGTGATGGGAGGGTATATGTCGTAGGTTGAGGTACGTACCGGATAGAAACGCGTAGAGAGGAGTCGGGTCGTCGTGCAAGTCATCGAGCCATGTCTGCGTGGCCTCTTGACCCAAGATGCCCTGCGTCACGTCCGCCGGAAGGACTTGGAAGCGCGACGACAGGAGATGCGGGCTACTGAGAGACCATTCCAGGTCCTTCACCACCTTCCGTCGCCGCCGCCGTCGCAAGCCTTGATCGTCGTCCACCACCATGGGTGACATCGATTCGATTGTTAGCGCGGAAATGCTGTGTTGTAAACCTCGACGAATGAAAGCAAACATATTTATTTAATTAGGAAAAATAAAATACACCACACTCCGCTGTAACCAGTGCATTTGCACCTAGAACCCATCCATTCGTTTTTAATTTCCATGACATTTATTTTGACTTACCATCTTATAGTGTGATTCCAAGTAACCAATCAGCGTGAACTATTTTTTTCCAACAGGGTTCCCTCCAAAACCGACCGACCTTGCTTGTTGGCGCCGCGCGAAGATCGATGGACGACTCGGACGACGACGTAGAGATCATCACGCCAAAGAAGAACCAGAAACGCAACTTTGTCGATGACGAAGACGAGGCGGGGGATGTGGCGGCGGCCATGTCCCAACAAACAGACGACGAAGTGATCGTGACCTCTGCGTCCAAGAAACAGAAGCGCATGGTGGTGTTGGACGAGTCCGACGACGAGACCAAGGACGACGGCGACGACGCGATGCCTCTCACGTCGTTCCGTGACTCGTTGTCGGGAGTGGGGAAAGCTGCATCCCCTGCCACGAACCGTCGTCACAGCGTGCCCGCGGCGTCCACACGCCGCCAAAGCAGTCGCCGTGCATCCCGCCGTCTCTCGGATCGTGGCGTGCAGAAGGAAATCGAACACGTGGAGCTCAAACAGAAACTCAAGCGCAAGAGCCTCGACACATGTCTGCCCAAGCCGGCCTCGGACGACGAGTTTGTCGGCGAGTCCGACGACGATTCCGAAGGGTTCGTCGTCGACGACGATGTGGTCGAGTACATGAACGAAGACGAGAAGCCCATCCTAGCTGTCGAGGACGAAGACGGCGAAGATGACGAAGATGCGATGGACGTACACGGGTCCAAGGAACCCATCGACTGGTTCCGCATCTACCTCACGTACATCGAAGAGTGTCTTGTGCGTTGTACCCTCTTTTGTCACAACTGTCCCCCTAATTGTCACTGTAGCTGGACGAGTCGTTTGAGACGAATCCGCACATCCCGGCGCTGTTCAAACAGTCGATTCAACACGTGCGTTCATTTATTATCATTTATTATTTATTCATCCCAGCGCGGTTCAAACAATCGATTCAACACGTGCGTTCATTTATTATTTATTATTTATTCATCCCGGCGCTGTTCAAACAGGCGATTCAACACGTCGGTTCATTTATTATCATTTATTATTTATTCTTGCATTTAAAAAACACTTTGCAATCATAGGTCGAGCGCGGACTGCTCCAACGACGTGACAGCCTGCGTGGCAATGTCCACTGGCCGTCGGATCTGGTTGAAAGTATCGACACAATGCCGCAAGTGATGCAAGGTGAAGCCGACGGCGACCAGCTCTGCTACGCTTGCAATCGCAGCCGCCACCCCGCGCATTATTCGGTACGAAATAGATGAAAATGGATAAATGAATAGATGAGGACGGGTATTTGATGATAGATGTCATTCATGGGCGTGGCATGCCACGCCCCCGATTTGTACCGAAAGGGCTGGCGGCAACAGTACGTAATATAATATATATATTTGATAGTGTGTGGATATATATATATAATATTTATTGACAGATGAAGTTGATCCCATCCATACCTTGTAGTTTGTTTGAATGCCTCGAAGCGGACAACAACACTCGCGTGGACTACGACCTGGGGAGTATGTGCTTTCAGGTAAAAACGAATCTAACGATATCTCATCCTTTGATATATATATATATCTTTTGCGTTCATCACTCGTCTAAACATAAAACCTATGGGTTGTATGTAGCGGGTGTTGTTGTACTGGAGTTTAAACCAAGCCAAGCGACAGTGGTGCAGCATTGTATGGCGCAAGATCGTCGAGTACGTATCTATTCATGTCCAGCCTTATTATTTATATCTGGAGAAATATATTTATGAATACATTTCTACCTTTTGCGATAGTTTCATTTACACATTTTGAGATATATTTTTTTATTTGGACAACCTTGCGTTTGTTATAGACACGGGGGCAAGCGTATTCCCGCCGACGACCGGGAAAAGGTGCACAAGGTAAGAATATAAATGAATCATTTATTCTGTCCCTCATTTTCATTTATAAAACCCACGACATTAAATAGACAGAGTATGGCCGGTACAAGAAGCTGTTGGGCATGGTGGACGGCATGGAGCTCAAGGAGAGCCGCCAGCTCACGCGGGTGGGAAATGTGTGGCTAAATGTACAGCAAATGACCAAGCATTCGACCGGGAAGGGGCGGCGGCGCGGCGACTTGGCTTTGCTCGACGAACAAGTCGCAGAATCAACAGAAGATTCTGACCATGATGTTCTGGATAACGAGCTAAAGGAAGGCGAGTGTTCGCCGGCGAAAAGCAGCCCCAAACCTGCGACACCGTTGCCGGCAGACGAGTCAGACATGTGCTTGGTGTGCCATAAGCGGCGGCGCACCGGCGGCGTCCTCCACGGGTACTACGTGCACGTATACTGCTGCTTTGAGTGCGCCAAGATGCTCAAAGATAAGAAGAAACCCTGCGCCGTCTGCGCCCGACCCATGGAGCGGGTCATCCACCTCCTTCCTCTCAACGACGAAGAAGCGGCACGAATTCGGCACACCCACGGTTGAGATACTAGATATAGATATAAATACTAATGTTAGTAGATATGGTGGTGTGTTGATTCAAAACTGGCGCGGAATCTCCAAATCGATTTGAGATAGGTATAATTTGGAGAACGTGTTTATAGAGGTTTATCAATTTATAGAATATTTTGGCGGCTATCTCAAATCACGGTCCTTTTACCCACTTTGAACTTCGAGTTAATCGTCGGTCTCGCGTCAGTTCCGTGACACTTTTTGGGACCCTTGGAGGGTTCCTTTACTCCAAATTGCTATTATAATAGTGTTTCTTACTAATCCATTTTTCGTTTAAGTTCAGGTTATTTCTGGTATATTTCGTCCAACACACAACTGATTCACGCCATGCGTGTTATGTTCACCGAACATTCGATATATTTCGTCCAAACCCTACTTCGTCTCATTATATTTCGACTAATGTCTGGTATATGTCCCCCCCAGGCGTTGTTCAATATATTTCAAATGATTTTCCATCTATTTCGATTTTCGAAGCAAATCAAGTAAATCGCAGTTGGTGGATACTTGTCTAAATCATACTCCGGAGTAGATACTTGAAGGATTGTGCTTTCGAGCTAAAATTGATATTTTAGGTAGATTCGACGAACGACGTCAAATCCACCTGAAATCGTCGAGATGTCATTTTACTTGAACTAAATATACTCACTGTGACTCCGATACAACGTTGAACTCTTTGTGAAAAGGAGAAGGCCTGTAATTTGATTGATCTAGAAATTTTTTTTCGAAAATTTAATTGGCTACTTCGATCTGTCGATTACTGCGTAGATTTATCGAAAAAGATGGAACATCATTTGAAATATATTGAACAATGAATGGGGGGTGACATATACCGGAGATCAGTCGAAATATAATGCAACGAAGTAGGGCCTGGACGAAATATATCGAATGCTTGGCGAACAAAACGCACATGGCGTGAATCAGTTGTGTGTTGGACGAAATATACCAGAAATAACCTGACTTAAACGAAAAATGGTGTAGTAACTGTAATGAGGAGAATGAATGCAGTTCGTAGCACTTAAAATCATGTCGAAATTCATATCGAAATTCATATTAGTGTTGATGGAAAATGAATTAAAAGAGTGGAAATATCCATAACTTTGGCTATGAAAACAGTTCCGAGCCAATTGATTTTATTCAGTTATCTGTCAAAAATTGCATCTGATTGACTGAAAACAGAGTGATTGTTTCTACCAATCATGCATCGTGGCACGGAACCAAATAAATACGTAGAACGTTAATACTCACGAAGTATATTCTAATAGGGACAGTATGTACTTTTAGAAGAAAATTCCACCAATTAAACCAATCAAAGCAAGCCCAGGCTCAATCGATAGAACTTGATTGGCGGAATATTTCTATGTAACCTAACCAGGGCCTACACTGCGCGCCACATGATTATACCCACACATATTTTCGCTCTTCCTTTTTGACCAATAAGCGATTGAGCTGTTCCAAACGTCACAAATCGATGAGTTTGATTGGTCGATGGCACTGACATGCAATTTGCCGCCCATCGTGCACCAGTTTGACCAATCTGGCCGACTGGGTTCAAAACCTTGCGTCACTCGAATAGGCCCATTCGGAAAATTTGCTTTGGAGGTAAATTCAACCACACTCACGGCCTTCTTTCCTCACCAATACTACGTAGAACCTTCTAACAGCTCCATCTGTTTGTCGCAATGGGTCTGGGGTCTCTTTTGAGTCCCATGGAGCAGGACATTGTCTTGGCTCTCCGACGGCACGGATTGAGGATCCGAGCCATAGCTGTCGAGATTTCTCCATCAACAAAGGCCGTCCGCACCTTTCGGAAGGACCTGGAGCAGTATGGAACAAGATTCAAACGAAGAAAGGCGGGCCTTATCATCGGACGGGAGTACCGTTTGCTTGTTCGAGAGGCATACAAGACAGGCTTGTCAGCTCGAAGCCTTAAGACAAGTCTAAATTTGGTGCCTCTCTTCGAACATACCAACGGCGTGTACATCACCATGTTCAAATCTGGGCGCCAAAATCAAGTTTTAGTATGCGACAGATGAATTAAGGGGCAGTCGTGATTTCACCACGTTATGAACACCACGTGCACTCCCTGCAAGTGAGACTACGTAGCCTCTATATTAGAGACTTTTAGCAAGTGCGAAATCTTGACTTTCCAGACTTAATCTTCGATTCGAACTTCGAAGCTTGCAGACGTTGCTCGGAAACAGGTCTGAAAAGCGAGGAAGTCATCACACTTTTGGCCTCGAAGTCCGCAGACATCTGACTACTTTCCGAGCCAATGAAATTGCTCTATTGAGTTTTGCTTGCGAAATCTCCACACCAACATGCTCCGACTCGCTTCAGCCGACGCATAGGTAGTTAAGACTATGTAGTGTTAGGATAGTGCACAAGCGCGGGTATGTACAGTGATGCAGGACGCTAGTCTGAGTTTGTAGCTCAGGGCAGTACATCACAGTATACTCCCCGCCGCCACTCACCAAGCCACCGATGATTGCCGCCGGATCACCCTATGCCAAGGCATGGACGACGGGCGGCGAGCTCGGTCCTGACTACGTAAACCTATGTTTGTCGCCACGATACTTGACGGCCAAACAGAGGGAGAATCTTGACTCAAGATCCTCAAACTTCGAAAGCAGTGGGCGTTAGGACCGCTGAGCTAGTCCGAGTCCTTACAGTCCAAAGCGTTCGATGACTATCGTTTCATAACGTCGCACATGATACACAAATCCACATTCTACACGCCCTTATGTGTCTCTCGTTGAATTGCGCGCAATGAAGTCATACCGGTAGGCAGAGACTAAGAACAGGAAAAGGAATAATGGATGGTGTTGGCTTGGTGTGTCGGGATTTACTTTTCAGACTTGCTAAATCTGAATTGTTCAAACTTCCAACTTCAGACATCGATAAAATCGAACGAAGTACAAAGTATGTAAACTACTCACATTTCGCACTTGCTAAAAGTCTCTATTTATTGAGTACTTTCACAGTTTGAGTGCTTAGAATACAACATGGGACAATGACGTCGCCAGAAGAGCGTGCATGCGTCGAAACTATTCGTCGACATGGACTGTCGATCCGTTCCATCGCTAAAGAGCTCGGACGCAACAAAAACGCCATCGCTGGCTACCTTAAGAACCCTGAAGGCTATGGAACACGTTTTCGGGGCATTGCGAAGATTGCTGTCGTTGGCAGGGAGTATCGTCTGCTCATCCGAGAGGCCTCCAACACTGGACAGTCTGTTCGAAGGCTCAAAACCGACCTCAACATTGATGCGTCCCTGCGAACAATACAACGAAGACTCAAGGAAGCACCTACAGTGACCTACGAAAAGAGGAAGCACACTCCGATGCTAGGCAAGGTTCACATGCAAAAACGAGTCAAGTATGCTCAAGGCAACCTCCGAGAGCCAACCAATTGGACTGAAATCATTTCGTCTGACGAGAAGAAATTTAATCTCGACGGTCCAGTTGGTTTTCAGTTCTATTGGCATAACCTTCGGAAGGAGCCTGAGTCATATAAAAGGCGGAGACGGTGTTATGGTGCTTTTCCAGCTCCCCGTGTGTCCGAGCTTGCGTTCCTGAGGGCTTCCAAACGGCCGAGAAGTACGTCAACACTTTGGTAAACTACTTGTTTTCCTTCGGCCATGCATTTTACGGCGAAAAATTCACGTTCATGCAAGATGGGGCCTCCATACACCGTGCACATCGAACCATGGAGTTTTTGACCGAACGAAATGTTCAGCTTTTCGACCATCCAGCACTGGCACCGGACCTCAATCCCATAGATAATGCTTGGGGTGTTCTTCGGCGTGCAGTCTACGCAAATGGCCGGCAATTTACAACAAAAAGCGAGCTTATCCTGGGCATCAAGAGAGCGTGTTGGTCGCCCCTACCTGTTGACACTTGCCAAGTCGATGCCAAATCGCCGTGTCGAGGTTATTCTGGCTCAAGGAGCGAAGATTGACTACTAGGTAGTGATTTTATGATAAATCATTTCGAGTTGTTATACAAAACTGCCACTTTCTTGATGTGTCCCTTAGTTGCTTGGCGCGGGTCATAATCAAATTTTTGGATATACAAGAACAAGCAATAAGTTTTGAGGATATGAGCCGCGATGAAACGTACTGTTTCATATTCATGCACGTAAATTCTGAATTGCACAAGCAGAGAACAAATACACATCGGCACAGGTCGAAAATTGGAGGTGTCCCTAATTGGTTGTCGCGCACTGTAGGGACATCTTTAACTACTCCTACAACCAACCAGTCACTCCAGATTTCGACACGATTGCTACCATGTCGACACCCGTCAAAACCCATTTCTCGAAAGCTAAGGACATAATGATCTTGCGGGAGGTCAATACCAGGCTCCCATTCATAGCAAAGCGAGGTTTCGTCATGCTGGCGTGGAACACTGTGGCCGACGGCGAGTCGATGAACGACGACTTCGCATGTCCAGGGATTCGACGATAAACGAGCCCTTAAGAGGTTCATTTTGCTGATGGAAGGTCACCGCATGAACGTCGGCACGTGCGTCCGGAATCGACGAAGAACATGACGAAAAGACCCAGTAGCTCGATAAGCATTTGGCGGCGTATGAAGATTGGAAGTCTCAAGACAAAGCTCGACTCGTCGAAGCCCAGGAAGAAGCTGATCTGATTGACAACATGGGCGTCACCATACGTGAAGAAGCATTGCAGGCATTGGGTAAGCGCAAGTCGGCAGCAATGGATGGTGATGGTACAGGTGCCGGGTGCGGATCTGGTGGTGGCGTCGTCATGAAGATGATGAAAATGTTGCACGATGACAGTACTGCTGACCTCGAATTTCGCAAGCACCAGTACGCAATGGATTTGAAGGAGCGGGAAACTGTGCGCGTCATGGAGTATGAGGAGCGTCAACGTGAAAGAGCAATGTATAGGGAACAAATGCGCCTGCAGCATGAAACCTTTGTGGCAACTTGCAATCCAAGAACCATAACTTTAGAAACCAAATGAATTATTCTAGTTAAATGTCTACAATATCAAGCGTGTCGAGACAAATCTCAAGACTTGGTGGATCGACGTCAAAGTACTGATTAATTTGATTTCCTCCAAAGTAACAGCAATGACAGTTCGTCAACAACATAGCTACACTAACTACTCCGGGCACCGGTGACAATCGAATTTTCGACAGCATTTTGAAGGTATTGAACGACCAAAGTGTTTTCACAACTTTGAAATTCGACTCGACGGACTGGCGAACACGACTCATCAACTTTTTGGGAATTGCTGAGTCCGTTACCTTTGAATCCAGACAACAAAAACTGCGACACGCAGTAGGCAGGATCACCACAGTTGCACTTCTCCGAAAAGATGTTTGAGTTTCGTGAAAGAAACTGGAGGAGGCTACTTTCATGGAGAAATGTCGTGTCGTGGCGCCGTCCTTCCACCGGGCCAAAAAAGTGAACGCAGAGGTCATCGGGAGCAGCGATGCCTTGGTAATTTAAACAGTGCATACGTTTATGACCACTGTAGATTTCCTTTTGTAAATTGTCGCCGCTTCCCGTTGGTCCAATCCGACACACTTGGAGCTTCGTCCCATCGATAAACCCAAAGAAACGAGTGGTTGGGGCACCCCGCGTGTTGATAGCGGCGCAGTATCGCTCCATGGTTTTGGCAACAAGGTTTGTGTTGAAGTACAGCAATGGATTCCACCGCTCGTACAACTCGTTCACGACGTGAAGGAAAATGTCACATCGAACCGAACGTGATCGCCGAAACGTTTGCGCCATGTCGAAAAAGCGTGTCGGAATGGCCAAACGCGAGAGAACGATGCACAACGCCTCGTCGCGTAACACGCGGTTACGGCTAGAGGTAATGACTACATCAGGTATGTCGAGGAGGAAGGCAAGCGTCTGAATGCCAGCCACATCGAAACGGAAGTTGAGAATTGCGTTGGAGTCGGGCAATGCTGCTGAGGTCAAATCGTACGTCAGGGATGATGGGTCGCTCAACATTTTGCGAGGCCAAAATGGCCATCACAACGCGCACTGTCGATCAGTCTTCGCGAGCTGCAGAATGGCCACGAGTTCTTTCAGCAACAGCACCATTAAATGGAAGTGGGAAAATATCCGCATAAACCTTGTATCCGGTTTAGTGTAGAGAGAACATGCAAGATCAAAAATAATTGTTAGTTCCTACACGTCCTGGCCACACCGCTTTTGACACAGTCAACTGTAGGCGTAGTCCCTGGATAATGTGCAAAATCTCTCTACTGTCGTGTCCCTCATGGTTATACATTATCTGCAAAATGAAACAAGGCAAGTTGACAAACTCGTGAAGCCCTCGGAGCTGATGTAAAGTTTGGTCTTACTTTTCATGTGCTCATAATGGTTCCAAAGAGTCTGTGCGTTCTCTGGTGGCAAGATCATTCAGCTATTGTATCGACTACTGAATAGGCCGCCGATACATATACACGCACCTTCATTATTCCTTCTGACAATAGATTTACAGTTAGTCTTTATCAAGTCATCAGCAATACTATTAGAATTATCATATGTACAGTATTCCGAGTAGTGCCGATCTCTGGTTGGTCAATCGCATTGTGCTTAGAATTAGTAGTTCACGTCACACAACAACTAGCCAATAGGTAATTGACTGTGAATCAATTCGTTTGGTGGAGATCTCTCGTGAATTTGTTGTAGTTCCCATAAAACACTAACGTGACCGATCAGTGATCCGCCAAAATTTGGATTTTTTCCTTCTTCAATTACTCAGCGGCTATTTGTGCTAGAACAAAGATGGACAACATTCTGATAGCCAATTTCAAGTGCTTTCACAAGGATTCAAAACCGATCGGATCTGACAGTTCAAGTTTCTCCAATTAATTTAGAAAGTTGAGCAATTTACACAGTCGATCGGTGATCCGCCAAAATATATACTTGAAGTGAGTATTGAATTCAGTTTAACAAAATCCAAAATCTTTAGCTGAAAATATAATATGATAAAGGTATATTAGTTTTAGAAATGTATGAAGTTTTGAAGTATTGACAGGTTGGAGTGTTGGACAATTCGTGCATGACAATGCAATTCACACATGACGACGACGTGTCATTCAAAGTCGACATAATGATGGACAATGTACACTTGATATTGTCATCCTACATTGAATGCGTTGGACAATCATTGCGTTGACATAGCAAAGTTCAAACCAAGTGTATATGGGGATTCTAATCTCTCATTGCTCAATTTTCCTCCTGGTGCCCAGTGCGGGTGCCAGCGGCGTAAAGTTCGTCACCACCAAGTCGCGCCTGCGTTCGCCTAGTACCCACATACCGTCAGACGTCCTTAAACATGGCGCAGTCTTGGGGCAGGACAATGGTTAGCTAGTGAAGATCATTCTTCGAGGTGGGCACGATACCTTTTGGAATTTTGAGTGAGTACTATTAGTCACTTAAACAAAATAATCTTTCTACTATCGTCTTTGCATTTTACACGAAATAATTAGTTCTAAGTTAGCGTTATTTGCAATAAAACTCAACTTCAAAATATGACAATTGAGAAATGTAATGAACAGCCGTATAGACAATTGAAAAA